AGTGTCTGATTGGAACGAGACCTAAAGTATCTGTGGTGGCTTTAAGCCATTCTGTGGTATGATCTGTGGAGAGTCTCATGGGATATTTTTTTATTTTATTTTATTTTATTTTATTTTATTTTATTTTATTTTTTTTAAGACAATAAAAGAATTTCCAGCTTTCCTCTAAAGCAAGCTTGTTTTGGTTTGCATGTTAGATCATTGTGCTGTGTACATGGTTTATATTTGTGCCTGCATTAAAAATAAATTCTCATACAACAGAATTTAAACATCTTAACATGAAACTTTGGTGGAAAATTTTGTGTTTAGAAAACAACTTTTTGATTTTATTTTTCTGATTTTTTTTTAATTTATTCCTTTTATATATTTTGGACTTCTGAAATTGTGGTGGTTCAGTTGGCAAGTGGTGACTTGCTCGAGTACTATATATCTGTGTGCTTTTAAATCTTGCAAGCTTGGTCTCGTACAAGACTGTAAAAGCTAAATTAATTATTGACGTAATAAGAATTGGTTCAATCATTCTTACTAATAAAATTGACAAAAAAATATCGGGAAATATAGACTATAGACAAATAGTGAAATTCCTTTTCCTCTTTTTCCTCCACCTTTAAGAACTGTTTTACAGACTTCAGGTATTAACTATATTAAAGAGGGTGTTTGCCTCCCATATTTCATTTCAAGTTTGTTGTCATAGTTTCTTTTACACAGGTATATCTGAACATGTTGAAGGAAGGTTTGTGCCTTTTTTTTTTTTTTTTTTTTCTTTTAGCCCCTGATGCTAAATCATAGACCCTAGGAGTTGTCATTCATAGCAACTTTTTTTAAATCCATCCGTTCCTTAGTCTCTTCAGATCTGACCTTGCTGTGCAAATATTGTGACACATGATAGGGTTAAAGGTTCATGTTGCCAATTTTAGTGTATTTTTAAAACTCCAGTGCAGTTTTTTTTTTTTTTTTTCCAAAAATGGGTTTCCAGTAGTGGATAATTTGTGATGTTTAATGCAGTTGCATCACAGTAAATCTTACAATTTAGTGTTCACAAACTTTATTGGAAACAATACAGTTACTGTAGAGAAAGCAGATGGAGTTGTGTTGCACTTTTCTGCTGGGTTCCAAAACCTGACTGTTTATGAAGAAAATTTATACTGTTATTGGCATGATTTGAATGAAAAGTACCAGCTCTTTAGGTTTTTTTTTTTTTTTTTCCTAATATATATACTTAATCATGCTTAAACTGCATGCTGATCTGAAGACAGTTGGTCTTAATTCAAATTTGTTGTAGTAGTTTAATAGGAATATGTTTTTATAAGACTTCTCGCGCAGAAATTCTTTGCTGTGTGGGGTTGCCCTTTCTGTTGACATAATCGGCTTTGCCTTAGTGAAGTCTTTGGAGAGTGTTTCCTAAGCGTTTGGCAAAATGTTCATTGATCGAGGATGGGTACCCGATATTAAATTGCTGAGAACTTTCAGGAGATGGTGCTTCATTTATCTGTTATAATGCTATTTGATAGCTGTTAGTAGCTTGGTTTCCAAAGGTGTGCAGCATAGGTCTGTCTGACTTTTGTGTACATGTTTCATGAGGTTGTATGTGCTATACCCGAGTCATCTTTAGTTTTTGTTGCTTGTTGTGTGTTCACCAATATGATCATTGGTAGAAACAGGTGGCTAGAATGCAACTATTTTTCATTATGTCTCTCTCCTCCCTCCTTGTTCTAGGAAATATTGCTTAGATCATTTGTAGATACTCCTTATATTTACACTGTGCAAGGTACAAAAAGATAAAAGTATTTTATGAAAATAATTTTATTTACTGTATATATTCTTGTATACGTTAAGTAATGTGAATGAACCTTTAAGGTCAAATCATGTTTGGGCCATTACTAAGCTGATGGGGGAAAGAAAAAGACTGATAATGTAGATGATGTATGAAGGTCTGAGAGATCTGTATTCCTTTTGTGGATCATGTTTTATTGAGCAACACTTTTTCCCTCTCAGAATATTGTTTAGGGGCTGCTGCTTGGAGGATGTCTGGTATCTGTCAATAGACTGTTCTGGCCGTGTTTCACCCTTGCTACTTACGGACTTCAGTTAGTGGTTTAAGATTGGTGTCACATAATCTTATAGCTTGAGAAATGTGCTTTGCTGTAGTGTTAAATTAGGTGCTTTGAAGGGATCAGTTCTAACAAGAAACTAGTAGGCAGATATTTTGGGAGAAACTGAAAGGCATGAGTTCCTTTTCGTTTGCTTTTCGGTGGAGTTTTTCTCTACAAAATGCTACAAAACTTCCGGAGTTCATCAGCAAGTTAATCTTTGATGCACTTCTCTGGCCACTGCTTCTTCTTTAATAAGCAATAAAGTATCACAAAGGATTGTTTTATTTATGTTATAATCCCACGTAAGAGGTCTTGTCTGAGATCAGGACCGAATTGGTCTGTGCATTGTGCAGACACGCTTGCTAAACTGGCTAGCTACATAACTGAGACAGCAGGCATGGAAGCAGCACTCGAGATCCCCATCTAATCCTTACTACATGTTGTTATTGCAACCACTAGTATATATGCAAGGAACTTCAGTAAGCTAGTGACTGAAACGCTAAGCTGGGTGGACCTGGGTTGTGGCCCTTGCTCTTTTCACAGCCTGGGTGTTTTGTGCAGGCGGTAGTGATGCATTTGGTGTGAAACAGCTCTTGCAACAAGGAACTTGTGTCTTCCTGCTCCAAAATGAGTACTCAGAATGACCAGCACAGGCAGTTAGACACCCACTGCTGTTGTCTGCACCTACTGCTGTTGTCTCTCCCTTCCCTGGAGACTTTCCATCCTAATTAACAAGCAGTTTGTAGAGCAGCTCCATGTTGGGTTGTCTGAAGCCAGACTGATCATCGGGGAAGTGAACTTGTGGTTTCATGAGGTAGAGTTTTTGGCAGTGCTACCAACCATCTACACCGTTGCACTGTACCATCATGTCTCTGTTGTGCTGGCACGACTGTCTGGGGAGCTATGCTGTGGCGACAGCTTTCCTGCTTTTGGGACAGCTCTGCTACTCTGTCTTTAGATTAAATGCATTAAGTGGGATATCACCCAATGCTTGATTTGAATGGGAACTGTAAGTATATTTTCTGCAGAACTCAATACTGTACTATACAGACAGTATATGTCTGCAAATCACATTACAGAATCATATAACTTGCTCATTCTTACTATAGTATTTTTTAAGCATTGTGTTCTTTGTAGATTAATTATCTATTTTCTGAATGCAAGTTATTCAACTCAAAACTTCTTGGGTAGACTACAAGTTTTGTGAGCTGAAATAAAAGTGAAGAGCCTTCTTTTTAGTTGTTAGGAGTGCTCTCAAATATAATATACTCTCTCTGCAATCCTAATTATGTGTATCCTGAATTACTTGCATGACATCTGGAGTTAGACTTGTGAAGGATTGATTATTATTATATACGTGGATATCAAATTGGAGCCAGTTAAAATAATAGCTCAACTTCATCTCCAGGCACATGTCACAGTTTACTTCTCTTATAATTTTGAAAAAATATTTTTAACTAATACTGTAAAACTAAAATCTCTGCAGCTTTTCTGCCTCTTGACAAGTGTTAGTATTCAAAGCTTCCATGGACATGATGCTGCAGACAGTGAGGATACACCAGAAGTTTGCTGGCATTATAGGACTACAGCAGGCAGTTTTTAAATCTCTAAATCGTCTAATTTGTTGTGTGGGTTACCTCTGCCAGCTGTGGGGGGAGAGCGAGTGTTATTGCTGATTATTACAAAATCAGGAATCAGTGTCTAAAGTCAGGCCTGCCTCACTTTTCTGTATTAATTTCTAAAACCTAAAATATAAAAATACTGCCTCACTACTGTATGAGTTCATTCAGTATGTTAACTTTGGATTGTTAAATTAGTATCAGTTAGGAGAAATTAGGAGTTTTATTCTGCTTAGCACAGGTCACAGAGCCTTATATGCAATGCAGATAAAATTATTTTTCTTGTATGGTTATAAATATGAAATTAAATATTTCTCTCTCCGTTTTTAAATGATTTCCCTTTAGCTGCTCATACTCAGAGAATTGGGTTCAGATAGTCCTCATGATAGTCTGTTTTTCTGTCATCATGCCCTATTCATACTGCCCAAAGAAAACTTTTGTTGCAACTATAGATTCTGTACATGAGACATCCAGGTACTTCCAGTAAAAAGAAGTATGCACACACACTCCCATTTTTTTATCATAAAAATAAGCACTGTATTACTTAGTGTTGATCAAATATAACAGAAGTAGTATTATAAGCACTGGTATTTGAAGCAAATATGATAAAAAGGTGGTATGTAAATAAGCAGACCACTTAAAAGGGAGCTCTGTGTAAGTCACAGTCAAGTTTTGTATCCATCAGGGTCATTTTACCGTAGGGATGTACAAGGCAAATTCAAACAAAGAGCCTGCTGCTTCTGCTCAAAGGTTAAACGGAGTCAAACAGCAGGGAGAGGGGAAGCCAACAGATGAAGTATCTGGACTTAAGTATTCAAGGTATCTTCAGGCTGATGAATAATCAACCCGTGGAAGAGATAAGACCTCATCTGAGAATATCTGCTGGTCATTAGTCATTGGAATTTCTGCAGCATCATGTTGTGGCAGAAATGCTGGCATTCTCTTGGCCTTTTTGCCATGTGTCAAATGGCATACACTGTACTTGAGATATTATTAACACAATAGCTTAAGATTCAGGGTCATGCTAGAGATTCTGTTGTCTTTATTTTGATTAATGCTATAACATAATTCTTGCTCTCCCCATTAAGTAAGCAGTTAGATTTTTCTGGTGTGACAATGCCCGGACAAGTCCATCAAAGCAACATTTGAATGCGGCAGTCTAATTCAACATTGCAAATAGCTTGAATATAAAATCCTAATGAAACTTAACAAAGAAGGTATGTTTTTAAAGACTGCTTTTTTTTTTCCTGAGTAATGGTAAACCAGTTTTTTTCTTTCTTCATTGCAGATCACCAGAAACTGGAAAGGGAAGCTAGAATCTGTCGCCTCCTGAAGCATCCCAATATTGGTAGGAACATTTAATTGCTTTTACACTAAATATTGGTCTAGACAGTTGATGGAAAAATACAAAATAGCATGCAGAAGTAGCAAGCTGAAAGAAGTAGAATGGCAAGAGTATTTCTTTCGAATGTGATGCTGCTTTCAAATTTGTCTGTGAAAACAGATCACAAAAAGCCAAGTGTAGTGGTCTCATCTCTTCTGAGTTATTGCTCTGCCATCAGTGTCTGTGCCAGGTGTTTGGGTTTTTTTGAGCAGTGTGTAGGTGGAGTTATTTCCAGTATTGCCCATGACTTTTTGAGACTTGAAGAAGGATGTGAGCTAATAGCGTATATTGCAAAATGAGACAGACTGCTGAAGATATAGTTAGTGCTGTTTTTACTCAGATGCTTATTTTGTCATGTCGTGTGTTTCAGATTCTGTTCATCTATAGAAAAGGGATGTAAGAAAATAAAAAATGTTGAAAGCTTTTCTTTTATTTCCAGAACTCTAGACTTTCTACTGCAGCATTCATGGAATGTACTAAAAAAGATTTTTTGAGGGGTGGGGTAAGTAGGAGGGGAGGGTCCCTTTCCTTATGGTTAAAAGGATAGGAACAGGCAAGTTCCTTGATCTTGAAGGAGTTGTATTTGGATTTTTTTAGACACTGGCTTGTCTGATGAGGTCTCTCTGTTAAAGAATAGGTACTTGAGACAGCTGCAGTAGAACGGTGGGATTTTCTTGCCTATCTTGTCTCTCTATCCCAATACAGATCCTTAAAAGTTGTTGTCAAGAATAGTAGTAATCCTGCTGGGTGTTTTAAATTAGCATATGTATCTGGTGCTCTGAAAGAACTTGTTTGTTTGCTCTTCTTCCTTGTTAGTCTTTCTCCTTTTTATTTTCAGTGCATAGAAGATGGTCTTCATGATATTTTTAGACTAATATGATTGTTTTGTGCTTGTCAAAGGATCAGTTCTTCCTTTTAATAGTAACTGTAATTTGAAAACAATCAAGCAAAAAAAAAATCTGCAATTTGAATGGAATTTGGAATCCCTGAAAAAGCTTTCTTACACATTCTGCAAATTGGAAATGAGGAAGTGTAGCATTATCAGAATTATTTAGATCTTTCCCTTTCATGTTTTATCCCAGTCAAATTTGGGAAGTGATGGGCAACAAAGTAATGTGCAATTTATTTCAGGGAAGAGGTGTGAAGTTTTTGAAAACAAATACAGTGTTTGTGGTAATCCACACTGTAGTTTACCTGTGGCTTCTGTAATTATAATTAGAGCATATTCATGAGTTTGCTGAGGCCCAGGAAGGTGAAGAAAGAACAATGATAAACAGGAACTGAGTGGTAGTGCTGAGGTGGCATGTCAGTGTTGGTGACAGTGTTATGTAAGTCAGCACAGAGTTTGTTACCTGTGCCAAGGTAGATATTCCGTTGAAAGGATTAAAAGCAGTATCTTTTACTGCTGTTGATTCCTGTTCTGAAAAGACACCATATTCCAGATCTGTATGAAAGAAGCTGTTTAGGTTTTCATGCTATGGAATTCCATGCTAGAGGCTTGCCAATGTGCATTTTATTCTGTACTTTTTAAAATTTCCACTATCAGCTATTCTGCCTACCATGGCAGTGTATATGCCTGAAAAACACTTTAATTAGCTTGGTTATTGAAGTTCCTTATTTGTATAAATGTAGTAGTGAAGACCACTTTGTATCTGACTTACGTCATGGAGGAAAATCATAAATGTGTTTGCAAAGAAAGAAATCGGTTTGGTAAATTAAAAACAGAAAAGGTAGCTCTTTAGAAAAGTAGTCATTTTGGGCCTCTCAGATCACTATCACGAAAGGTACCGGGTTGAACACTTCAGTGTTTGCATGTCGAGCAGCCAGATGCCAGCCATTCCTTTCCCGCTTCCACTCGGTCTCCCGCGCAGCATTCCCGTGCTCAGCTGGCCCCGGCGCGGGGAGGCCGCCGCGCTCCGGCCCTTTGCCTTCCACCCTCCTCATGGCCCCTGCAGGCACGCGCTGAGCCCCTGCAGGCGGATGAACCAGCTGATAGGAGATACATGCTAGTCATGCACCAAACCGGACCGTTCATTTTAGGATTACTGTCATATGCCATTAAAATATATATAATAATAATTTTAAAAATAAGCTCAAAAGGGTAATAATCCATCATTTTAGAATGCACTGATAGTGAAAAGTCAGTGTATACAGTAAGGCAAATTGGATTTAACAATGTAGATTAAGATGTGTTTTATATGTTTCCAAGTGGTAAACAAGTTTCCTCATCATGTATATGAAAAAGAGAATGCCTGTTTAAAATGTTAGCAAGTCCATAAATCCAAAACACCTACTTTTTTTTTAGATACATTTTCTCCCAAGTTCCTTAAAACTCCTGGATTTCTGGTAGCCTGGAAAATAACTGATTTTTTTGAACTCTTATGTGTACAATAAATGCATATAATTTATGAAATCAATCTGAAATGCAGTTTTGTAAATGCAGTCCCTAAAGGAAAACATAAATGTACGTTAATTTATTGAACGTTCCTCATAAGACAATCTCAGTGTTTATCATTTTGACTCAATGTAGATTTTTAGTCACTTGTGTATTTTAAGCAATACATGTTCAGTGTAGATGGCAGTTTTCTCAGTTAGAATTCAGTAATCCTTACACTCTTTATTTGGCCTTATTCCTCTTTCTAGTTATTTTGATTAAATTTCAATTCCCAAAGTGACTTGGTGTAAAGGTCAGTTTTTGAATTTACTTTAATAATGCTCCTTTCTAGAATGTGTTAAGATCTCTTCAATTAATTATCTTTCAAGTGTAATAACATATTGAAACTGTTAAGAGATGTATAAGGGTGAAAGAAAACCTTTTTAGTTACCTTTTTGAGCATTTCCCTCTAGTCATACTAAAATGGCACAGCTCTGATGAATCACGTTTTTAGATTTCAGCCCAAGAGTTGAACACACTGTAACTTTATGAGCAAGATTTTTGTTTTTAGAGAAACTAATGGAGTTGGTAAAACTGTTCTGCAGGAAGCATTTTTCTCTTTGTCCTTCCAGAAAATATATTTACATAAGATTCTGAATAACTTCTGCAAAATGACTGCTTTTGTATTTCCAGGGTAGGTGTCTAATTAGTAGATAACAAGAGCAGAATTCAATATTAAATTATTTCATGAGAGGAAAGAATTGACATCTTAAGACAATATTTGGAAAAGACTTTCAATTTAGTTTTGTATTCATATGCAGTATACTTCAAATGTTCCTCTGATATTGGCAAAGGAGGTGTGAAATTGGCCATGACTGTTTTCATTTTTTCATGTAGCTTTGGAACGAGATCTGGAGAAGGGAGAAGGAGTTAGAAAAAGACCGAATCTGAGTGCTTTCTTCCAAAAGATATAGAAGTCTTGAATTTGGATATTAAGGAGATACACATGAAACATTTTCATTTCAATTCCCAATTTGAATTTCCCTAAAAACCTCTACAAAGTATTCAGCACAAAAGAACAGAGGGAAACCTAATATGTGTTTTCTGTTAATATGTGTTTGCCTTTATTGAAGCATTTGTAACATCTTTGGAGTTCATCTTTATAAGAATCATTGTATCTACAAAATTTTCACAGATAATGTATTTAAGTATGTAATGAGAGAGCTTTAGTCTTCATCTAAATTATATATTGAGCTTTTCTACTGAAAAAATAATTTCCAAACTAGGTACAGGATAGCAAGTTCTGAATTCATGTGTGGAAATTTAAATTGCTGATGATTGTTCTCACTATACAATTGTAGGGAAGGGCAGCTGACTAAATCAAAAGTTAGCTATTTACCCTTCAGGTTCTGAACATATGACTGATAAATTTTAGTCAGTGATAATTCATTTTAATGTACAGATATACTTCTTTATACCAATACATATATTTATGTACAGTGAAGCATATAGAAGAGTCTTTTTTTTTTTTTTTTTTTTTTTTGTTGCATGAGAAATGCTTTTGAGGTAGGCACAGGCTTGCACTTGATATCCTTGTAGTGAAGTCACAGATATGACTAGTAGCTATCAGTTGCCTTCTCCAAGACTTTTTTTGCTGTATTATTGCTATACTTGTATTACTGCTGTACTGATGCTAATGTTTTTGTTAAAGAAAATCTGCATATTTATCAGGCAGTCTAAGCAAATGGATAACCACAATAAAGATGTGAAAGGTAATTCTCATCTGAGGGAATTATCAGTGGTGGAGTGCTGAGAGCAAGAAAGTTGAATGTTTTTATCGACATTCTTAACAAAAATTCAAGTGACTATCCAATGTTTGATAAAGTGGGATCATTTGGATGAGCAACAAATAGATATGTGATCACATACCTAAGAACAAAGAATATATGTCTGTCTTAAAAATGAGGACCTGCATCTTGGAAAGTAATGACTCTGAAAAGAATGTGATAACAATAATTAACTACTTGAACACAAGTTTAATTTGGTGGCTGTAGTGCACAGAACAATCTTAGTTCTCTGATGTAGACAAATAACTATCAGGAAGAAGGAAATAGGGTTTGTTTGATTTTTTTGTTTGTTTGTTTTTTTGTTCTCTGTCAACAGAAAACACTTCTAAAATTCTATACTGAGCTTTGGCAAACGTGTCAAAAAGTTTGGTCTGTTCAAAGGAGATGATTTCATTTGCCTGCAAGGATAACATGAAATGTTCTTTAGGAAGAATAAGCAAAAAGGAGCATGACTGCAGTGCTAGAGTTAAACACAGTCACTTTTCTGGCAAGAGAAGTAATCAACCATGAGAATTACTTAGGGGTATGGTGATGTCTCATAATTCAAAGTCTGGATGTATTTTTAAAGCCCTATACTAAGACTTGTCTATTATTGAAGATGCATATGCTTCTGTTGTTCAAAATTGAGTACAGACCATTATTTTTGCAAAGCTGAGTATTTGTGAATAATAATTCAAAGCTAATTACACTGTTTCTTCAGTGCCTAAGATGTTGGATGGTCCTTATTAATTGTGTTTTATATC